TATCCTGGATTCAAATTGCGCAGTTGGCTGTGTGGGATTCAGTTGCCTTAAACCCCAGGTCACTGCTGGCTCTGTACCATTGAAATTCTAACATCAGGTCTACGAGTTCCATTTTGGAATTTTGATTGATAATGGATTGTTTTTTTTTAAGAACTGTCATTTTATCATTTAGAGGGTCTCCTTTTCTACAAAATGGTTGTGTCTGTTGTGTGCATGAATGTGTGTGTTTACCAAATCAACCGACACAACATTACTGGAAATAATGTTGCCAATACAGGAAGGTGCAAGACAAATGGGAGCCCAGTGAAGTTCTTGGAAGTCCAAGTGATAGTGGAGTTTTCGGGGTGTTAGGAAGGAGAAAGGGCAGGATGTGGACCTGGGTGTTTTGAGAGCTTTGCACCTGAAGGTATGGGCGGGATACTCCACTGTGTGCAAGCCGGCTTGTATGTATCTGGCACACACAGAAGCGCTCAATAAACATTGACTCAGCAAACAGGTAAGTGACTTAATTTTTGGAAAATTTATCGCATGTCAACCAACACACTAGCACTTTTCACACACATCTTTAATCTTCATAACAATTCTGCCACACAGGTATTATGATCCCCATTTGACAGGCCAGGAAGGCTGAGGCTCAGAAAGGGAAAGTCCCCTGCCATTTCAAACCCTAGGTCTTTATGATTCTTGAATTCATTCACCAAAGGGATCAGATCTAATTTCCGTCCGTCTACTCGTTCATCCACCTGTCAAGGATTCATTAAGCATCTATTGCGTAGCACAATGACTATAGTACAATTACCGCTTTAGACTGCGTAGAACAGGCGGAGCGCTTGCAGGAAGACCAGCTGGGAGGCTGGGCTGCGGATACCGAAGGGCGGGGTTTCTGGTCCGCACTTCAGGGAACATAGCTGCCTTTGCTTCATAGTTATGGCTTTGGCTGAGGAGGCACAGTCAGATCGAGGTCCAGCGCGGTCTAGAGCGCAGATTTTGCGAATATTGACCAAGAGGAGGCGCGGCCCCACAACTAAAAGCTTGGCCAGGAGAGACGCTGTGCTCCAACGAACCACCATTGCGCAGGCGCAGAGGACCTAAGGAACGGCTTAACATTAGCTGGGAGAGGGGTAATTTAAAAGGAGGGGGCGGGGCTCGGCGGTGACGCAGACATGAAGGCGTGTCTCCAACCAAATTATCTCTTGCCTATTTGCCTCTGCCACTGAGGGAGTGGCCTAGGTGTCCCCTTCTCGGAATGAGGGCGGGAGGAATCTAGTTTTCCCTCGGAATCAGAGGTGTGGCTTAGGGCGGGCTCTCAAATTGCCCCTCAGTGATTGGGTATCTCATGTAGGGGGCGTGGCCAGATGAGCCGTCCATCCCTGGTGTGGTCACTTCCTGTGGAGTTTCCCCAGCCCGGGAGGAGGGGGAAGAGGACGAGGAGGAGGAGGGCGGTCGTCCGGGGTTAGGTTGGGGGGGTGTCGGTCCGTTCGGGGCGGGGGATGACTCACAGCCCATCCCATCTCCTCGGCGCCGCCCGCCCGCGCAGAGCTAGCTAGCTCCATGGCTTAGCGGAGGAGGAGGCGGTGGCGAGTTGGGGGAGGGGGACTCTTATTTTGTTAGGGGGACCGGGCCAAGGCCCGACCGGCCTGGCAGG